CCCATTGATTCCCGGACCTGGGAATCTGGCTATGGATAAAGAAACACCATCTGCTGGATGCTAATTCAGAGCATATATAGCCTCCTCAAGAATCTTGCCTCAGCCCTACAAGGTACAAGGCCTAGGTTGCCCTGTAACTGAGTCTTCAAAAGCCATTCCACCATGCGAACTAGCTGTTTCATGATGGTGGGGAATGCAATAAGACCAGTGAATTCCATAAGCATGGACATATTGACCCACTTCATTTGCTATGAAGTGAGTTCCTTGATTAGAAGCAATGCTGTATGGAATACCATGATGTTGGATAAGACATTCTGGAAGTCCACAGATGGTAGTTTGGGCAGAAGTATTGCTTGCAGGGAAGGCAAGTCCATATCCAGAGTGAGTGCCTATCCCAGTAGAAACAAAATACTCTCTTCTATGGTGGAAACAGATACAATCAGCCTGCCACCCGATAGCTGGCTGATCACCCCGGGAAACTGTGCCATATCAGGGACTCAGTGTTGGCTCTCTGCTGCTTGAAGACTGGACACTCAGTAGTGGCTGTAGCCAGGTTAGCCTTGGTGAGTGGATGTCCATGTTGCTGAGCCCATGCATAACCTCCATACCTGCCACCATCCACAAAACAGTTCATTCTATTCACTTGGTTATTAAAATCCTCCTCTGCTGAGGTCACCCTTGGGTAAGCATTCACAGAGGACACAAAAATCTTCACCTTTTCCACCCAGAGAGGTCCAGCCACATATCTCTTCCCCAGACTTCCTTCTCACCTTATTCTAAACATGTTCCTTCCAAGTCCCTGACTATTCAGCCCATGAATCAGTGCATCATCACATGTAACTGTTGATGGACAAATGAATAAACCAGCTGTAGTACATTCATGTACTGGGATGCTACTCAGCAATAAAATAAATTATTGATACACACAACGTAGTGTGTGTCTTTCTCAGCAAAAGAAATAAACTATTGATATACACAACATAGATGGATTTCAAGGGCATTATGCTAAGTGTAAAGAGCCAATCTCAAAAGGCTATATGCTCTGTGCTTCCATTTATGTAACATTCTCAAAGTGACAAAATTATAGTGATGAAGAACAAATAAATAGTTGTAGGCCTTAGGGTTGGAAGAAGGATATGAGTACTAAGGAGCAACACAAGGAATATTCTATGTCAATGGAATAGCTCTGTATCCTAATTGTGGTGATGGTTATATCATCTACGTGTGTGACAATATTTCATAAAACTATATCTCAAAAAGTGAACCTAAAAACTTGTGAAATCCATGTATGGTCTATATTTGAGTGAATAACATTGTCCCAGTGTCATGTTCCTGACTTTGACAATGTGCTGTAGTTACATAAGGTGCCATCATTCAGGGAGTCCGAATGAAGAGTACTCAAGAACTCTCTATACGACTTTTGCAACTTCTTATGAATGTTCAGAATAAAAATTTATACAAAAATAAAAGAAAAAGAAAAGCTGGAATAAAAATGACTTGGATATACTTCTCTTTTTCTAATTTGCTCCCATCACTGAGTTAATGAGCAGTGTCAAAATTAGTACAATAAGGAAGAATGGAGAGGATCCCTTATAAGACAAAGGATGTTGACAGGTGTCTAAGATAGGGAGTATACAATGGGAATTAAACTCCAGGAAAGAACCAGGCCCCAAACCAAAGAAATTTGTCAAGGCAACAGGAAGATTTTTTTTGTACCCTCAGATTGAGTAGTAGCAATCTGAGAGAAGATATTGGAGGAAAATGCAAACTTCACTCATATGGTTTTTTTTTTTTATTTTTTCTCAATTAAATTTCATCCACAAATATGTTGTGAGTGCTTGAAGTAGGTTCAGGTGGTAAAAGGTATATTTCTCCAGTGTCTGGAGTGGGATGGGACACAAGCCAAGGAAGTCTCTAGTACTTCTCTTCTAATAGCCCTGGGTCCCTCATGCCAGACTTAGCATTAACAAAGAGGGACATTTTCTCTATTATAAACTAGGAGTACAAGGATGCAGGAGGGCATTGTACATCCTTTGTGCTTATTCTCAATGAAGATATCCTAGTAGAAAGGAAGACTGAGTGGCAAGAAGTGCTGCAGTCAAGATTGTGGTATTGTGGACCATGTGTGTTGGTTTAAGAAGAAAGAAGAAAATTGAGGATTGGACTGTGGAGAGGAAATCCTTATAGTGCCCACCATTCCCTTGTGAATAGGGAAAACCATCAAATATACGTTTGCATGTTTAAGAATCAAAAAGTAAGCAGAGGCTTTTTAAAAAATTGAAGTATAATTAACATACCAGTGTTATGCTAGTTTCAAATGTACAATATAATGATTCAACAATTCTATATGCTACTCAGCACTTGTCACTCTTAATCCCCTTTATCTATTTCACCCATGCCCCCCACCCACCTCCCCTCTGGCAACCACCAGTTTGTTCTCTGTGTTTAAGAGTCTGTTTTTTGTCTCTTTTTTTTCTGTATTTGTTCAGTTTTGTTTTCTTAAATTCCACATATAAGTAAAATCATATGGTATTTGTTTCTCTGCCTTATTTCACTTAGCATTATATTAGGTCCATCCATGTTGTTGCAAATGGCAAGATTTTGTTCTTTTTTATAGCTGAGTAATATTCCATTATATATATAATACTATATATTATAATATATAATAAATAATACTATAATGGTATATATAAGTACTATATATATATAGTTTCATGCACAGCGTATAAGAATTAAAGATAGCAACCCTTGTGACCACTTATTTCATGACTGCTTCTGAACCCAGAAAATAAAGGCCTCTCTCAAAATGTTTCCTGGTACTCACCCTTTTTTTGGTTTTAAATTATTTGTGACTATAAATTTCTTATAGAAATTTTCATTTCGGACCATCTGACTCTTAATGATGATTTACTTGCAGAATCCTGCAAAATTTTGAGGATTAAGTTAGTATTTTCTTGGTTCTTTATTGTGTTCCATTGACGTATGTGTCTATTCCTCTACCAACACCACACACACTCTTGATTGGTGTATCTATATAACATAGAGTGGAGTTGGTAGAGTGATTTCTCCCACTTTATTCTTCCTTAAAGATCTTTAGCTACTCTCATTCCTTTGCCTTTCCATACAATTTTTAGGAGAATCTTGTCTCTATTTTCAAAATATCTTGCTGTGATGTCAGTAGGAATTGTATTAAACCTGTCTATCAATTTGGAGACAACAGTCATCTTTGCTATATTGAGTATCCCAATCCATGCTCTCAGTATATTTAATCTTCTTTCATCAGGGTTTGTAGTTTTCAGTATACAAGGTCTTATACATGCTTTGTTAGATTTATACCTAAGTAATTCTTTTTATTTTTTTTGAGCAAAGGTGAACTGTATTGTAAATTATGGTTTCCACACAAGTATTACTAGTTCACTAATGTATAGAAATACAATAATTTTTGTATGTTGGTCTTGTATCTTGAGAAGTCACTTATTAATAATCTAGGAGGTGTACATATGTATGTATTTAAGAGATAGCTTTACTTCTTCCTTTCTAACCTATATGCCTTTTATTTCCTTTTCTTGCCTTACTAAATGCTGGCCAGGATTTTCAACATTATGTTGAGTAAGAGTGGTGAGAGTAGACATCCTTGCCTTGTTTCCGATCTTAGGGGGAAGTGTTTAATCTTCCATTATTAAGAATAATGTTAGCTGTAGGTTTTTTGTGATTGTTCTCATCAAATTGAGGAAGTTCTTAATTATCTGAGCTGTTTTTTTTTCACACGTGTTGAATTTTTTCAAATGTTTTTCTGAAATTTTATGATCATGTGATTATTTCTCCTTTAGCCTGTTTACATGTCTTACATTGGTTTTTGAATATGGAATCAGCCTTGATTTTGTATCTTCTGACCAATGTCCCTCATAAGTATCAACAAAGCAATTCTAAACAGAATTTTAGAAAATTGCATTAGTTTTCTATTGCTGCAGTCACCAATTACCACAAACTTAGCAACTCAAAAAGGCAAAAATGTATTCTCTTACAGTCGTGGATGTGCAGAATCAGTTTCACTAGGCTAAAGTGAAGGTGTCAACAAAGCTGTTTTTTTCCCTGGAGGCTCTCTGGGGGAGAATCCATCTTCTTGCCTTTTCCGGCATCCAGGGACTGCTTACGGTCTTTGGCTCCTGGCCCTTTTCCTCTACACTGAAAGCTGTTGGGGTAGCGTCGTCACATTTCTCTGTCCCTCTGCTTCTGTGGTAACGTCGCTCTCTGTCTGACTGACTCTCTTGCCTCCTTCTTGGAAGACATAAGGCCCAAACAGAGAATCCGGGATAATCTTCCCACTCAGGATCCTTAGTTTAATCACATTTGCAAAGTCCCTTTTTTGCCATAAAAGGTAACAAATACACAGGATTCAGGAATTAGGAGGTAGACATCTTTGGAGGCCATGTTTCAGCCTACCATGTTTTCCTTCTTTTCACTGTCCTTATTTGGTTTTGGTATCAGGGTAATACTGTGCAGTCACACTTTTATCTCTGTAACAAAATTCTGCTGTGATGAGATACTACATTTCAAATTTTATGATTTTTTTCCTACCACCGTCTTCTCCTGAGTTGGGAATACTGTTATGAGTATTCATAATATTTGGTAATGTCAATAGACAGGGCATTCCTTTAGCACAGGTCTAATGTCCTTGTATAATTAACACAATGCTTTGCCATCTAGTTCAACAGCAAGATAGTCCACACTCCACTGTGCCCTAAAAAGTATGGTATTGGAAGGTTATCTTTCTCTTCTTATTCTGACATGATGGGTATGCCCTGATTTTTTTTTTTTTAAAGCACAGTAGCGCATTTGAAATGCTGTCCAGTTATAATCGTGTCACTGTGATTTGTACCTTGCCAAAAGGAGTGCCAAGTGACCCAAGCACCACATATGGTCTGGGCCACATACTCACCTGCACTACTATAGCTTGAAAGCAGCCATAAACAATACATAAATAAATGAGCGTCACTGTGTTCCAATAAAACTTTATTGATGGACACTAAAATTTGAATTTCATATAATTTTCACACACTACAAAATATATTCTCTTTTTGTTTTAAACAATTTGATAATGTAAAAATTATTGCTAGCTTGTGGGCCACACAAAAACAGGCAGCAGTCCAGATTTGGCTTGTGGGCCATAATTTGCCAACCACTGCCTTAGCCTCAGGGGACCTATATCCTAAAGGGGGTCGGTGGGGAGAAATTAACAAGAAGATAAATAAGTGGACAGGTAAAATAGATAATTTTCTGTGATAAAGGAAATAAAGGAAATTAAATAGTAAGATGGCCAGGGAATGTGTCTCTGAGGGAACAGGTAAGGTGATCCTGAATGATGAGAAAAGTCATGATGAGCCAGTCATGAGATAAGCTGAATACAGAATATTCTAGAAAAAATAATAGCAAGAGTAAAGCTGGAGGCAGGCAGAAGTTTGGTGAATTAGAGGAACCTTTTCCAAAAAGGTCACATGTGGCAGGAACACGGTAAAAGGTGAAATGGGGGTGAGAATATGTGGAAATCTAAAAAAGATGACATCATTGTTAAGAATTTAAAGTTAAGAAATGAATTAGTTGACCACAGTAGAAGTTATGCTAGATCCAATTTTACACACTGGGCTTGTGGTCCCTTGCTAATTTAGAGGAGCACACCAAGTCTTGTGAATTTAAAAAAAGAAAGGGAGAAAAGGAGAAAATGTTTTTATTTTTGCCACATAGTTCTGGGAAAATACAGTATCTCCTATATCATCCAGTATATTGAGAACAGATATAATTGGACCACACAATTTATTTCATTAAATGCTCATCCTTAAGATAATGATGCTTCACATTTTATATTTGCTTACAATACAAATGTGCTCATCATTAGATGATTTAAGGCCTTTTATAGTGGTTTTACGTCAACAGTCTAGTTTCTTTATAAAACTTAAAACGTTAAACCCTTAGTTTACCCCTTTTTCTTCTTATATTCAGACCAATTTGTGTGTCCAAGCTTGTTCTAATTTCTTCGAATGCACTGGAAGGAAAATCATTTTTAAGTTTGCATTGATTTGTGGCAATATTTGTATTCAACAATCAAATGCTACACTATTTCCTTTTAAATGGCTATGTACTTAATTAGTTTCACTTGTTCAGCAATTAATTAGTTTCAGAGACTTCTTATTTTGGTATCGAACCTGACTATTGATAGTTGGAGCAGATACTGTATCAGGATGGTAATGCATGTTTTCCAGTCACATCGCACAAAAAGTTTTCACTTTTGGAAAAGAAGTTCTTCATCATAATATCATCTAGTATCTTTCATAATTGTGAAATATCCTTCAACTAGTTTCTTTCTTTCATTTATTTTCTCCAGTACTGCTTCTAGTAAATAGGAGGCAAAAGGAAGCTGGAAGAGAAACACAGAAAAAAAGATGATCAAAACTCTATATTTTCTCCAGCTCAAAAACATACACTAAACATCATTAAACCATTAGAACTCAGCTATCTGCAACTTTGCACCCATCATGGTACCCTACTGGGTCTCTTTTCAGCTGATCTTACTGGATAGTGGGGGTAATTTTGTCTTTTAGAATAAAAATGATGAAAGAGCAGAAGTAAAATGAAAAAAGATAAACGCCTTATTGAACAATTCATGGTTTACTGACCATGTTAATGATGTAATCTGCAATACAAGCAGCTAAACCATTTGTCTTCAATCAGCTGATCAATAGCAGGTTACGGCCATCTCCAGGGCCCACAGGCCCACAGAAGTCGTACTGTATGCTCATCACTCATCAAAGAATGAGAGAGAACCATCAATACACTTGCCTGTGTTGGAGCCAAACACCTCGAGAGTTGTAGGGTAAAATTTCAGAGGGGAAAAAATGGCAAAAGTATACCCATTGATTAAGTTGTTATAGAAAAGTTTGTTTGGCATATCAAAGTGTAATACACATGTTGCAAACTGCTGAGTTTATGAAATGTAGAGTACATTTTTAAATTTCATAATTTATATTAACTTTTCTGGTAAAGTTTCATTGTTCCCTCTGCTTCCCTGGGCTTCCTGGAGAACTCCAACTCGTACAATGCACGTGTGCGCTGTAAGGAGGAGAAAATCTAAACTGTTCGCCGGTTACTCGCACAGCTCCGCCAACTTCCTTCCATCTCCTGTCCAGCTCTCAAGTCTCACAAAAGAGGTTTCTATAATTACGTCACTTCTTGGAGTTGTCCTTTGGATTCACCAGGGAAAGACTATTTTTGTTTCCCTGAATACGTTAGTTGGGAATGCTTGTCACGCCCAGGCCCCTTTCCTACGGGGAAGTGGCATCGGGCCTTTTGTGCGAGGATGACCACTGGTAGTGTCACCCATCAGTACCTGAGCAAAGACTGATGCCCTCGGTAGGAGTTGCCCAGCTGTGCTCAGCTAGGGTGATTATAATTAGCTAAACCGAACAGAATGGCTCTTTTCTAAATATGGATGGGGGAAAACAGCAAAGATTATGTAGCCCATGAAAGAAGCAGAGACCAAAGCTGGTCCATAGCATTGCCTCAGATCCCAAAGTTTCTAAGATTCTAATTTAACTTCTTTCTTAGTTTTACAACAAACCGCCTTCTCCTTAGGACAGCCTAAGTCTCCGCCAGGAGCTTCACACATCGTCTTCCTTGAAACTTACCACTGAAGAAAGCGTAAGATACCAAAATATCACATTTCTTCAGGTCTGAAGACAGACTTGAATAGAAGATACATACATTCACTTAAAAACAGCTTTTTTCTGGGGGAAACAAAAAACCCTACCACATTAAATATATACATACTGTGTTGGCAATCCAATGTCAGAAATACGAAAATGTGGGGGAATGCATCTTAGAATCAAGGAAGAAGAGAATGTTAGACTTCCTTCTGCAAGATAAGGATACTAAAAGCAAATCCTTACTTTGACAGATTGACCTTCTGGGATGTAGAAAAGGATTATATTTGGCAAAACTGTCAGTCTTATAAATTAGGTAATTTAAATTCTCAGGGCATTAATATTAGATGTTAAAGAAATGCACATACAAAAAAACATTAACAAAACTATCAGGCAACTTTCTTCTATGTTGGCCATGGCTATCAGTATCATATGCATTCCTACCAAAAAGCAGACAAACAGGGGTGCCTTAGTGGCTCAATCGGTTAAGCTTCAGACTCAATTCCGGCTCAAGTCGTGATCTCAGGGTCGTGGGATGGAGCCCCGCACGGGGCGAACCTGCTTGTCCCTCTCCCTCTGCTTCTCCCCACCCTCTCCCCGGGCTCCCACACGCACTCTCTCCCTCAAATAGATAAATAAATAAAACCTTTAAAAGTCATCAAAAAGAGGGGCGCCTGGGTGGCTAGTCATTAAGCATCTGCCTTCGGCTCAGGTCATGATCCCAGGGTCCTGGGATCGAGCCCCACATCGGGCTCCCTGCTCGGCGGGGAAGCCTGCTTCCCCCTCCCCCACTCCCCCTGCATGTGTTCCCTCTCTCGCTGTGTCTCTCTCTGTCAAATAAATAAATAAAATCTTTTAAAAAAATTGAAAAAAATTATTAAAAAGAAGAAAAAGCAGACAAGATGAGAATAACCTCCCATTTCTTCCTGATATAAACACAAGGTCATTTCCTAAAGCTGGTCAAGGAAAAAAAGGGTTCTCTGGCCAAATAAGTTTGGGAAACAAACCAAACTTTAAAAACTTTCTTGATTTCGGGATTTCTCAGAGGCTTTAAGATACGAACAGGCGCTGTGTGTCTCCAAGAGGGCAATGCAATATCCTGTTTCTGAATTCATCTGTCCATGCTTTTCTCATGGTCTGTTTATCATGTTGGACCAGCAGTCCATGGAACACACTTTGGGAAACATGCCACTTCTGTAATTGCTTATGTAATGACGGCACCCAGTACTTTCACCAGGCCACAATGTACTGACATTCATCATCTTATCTGCATATCACATTTTCAAGTTAAAACCTAAGCCTTATTATCTTGTGATCTGAATAGTTTTCAACATGTCATGCCCTCGGAAATTTCACTTCCTTTAAAAAAAATCTATCTCAAAGAATCTGTCTTCCAGGAAGCCTCCAAGGTGGAACAAGAGGTCCATTTACTAATTTACTACTGACAACTCACTTTATTCTCTTCCTCTGGTTCCCAATAAAACATAAAGCCCCACAGTTAAACACAACTGTTTGTCAATCCTGTTTTATTGGATTGTAAGCTTCTTTTAAGCTTTGTATGGAGGCTAACACATATGGATTTCAAAAAGCAATCCATCTTTTAATCATGATGCACAGTATTTGCACGTCTGTCTGCCCTGCAAATAGGTCAGAAGAATGTTATTATCTGTCTCTATAGTATGAAATGAAAGTTCATATACCTTACAAGTTGGTTGGAGATGTTTATTTTAATGGTTCTATTTCCTTTTTTATAAAAACAGTTCTGAATTTCTTCCTCTAAACACAGTGCTCACTGTACATGCTTTTTATGACTTGTCATTTACTGGGAAATATAAGGCCGGTTCTCAAAGAGGCCTTTCAGAAGTTTTTTTTTTTTTTTTTACTATATAAGGATCAACTGTAATTTTATAAAATATAAAATTTATGTAATTTTGTAATAAGATCATTAATAATTGAAACAAACTTAGAGGAAGTTTAAGGAGAAGTCAGAATTACAAAACACTTCAAATAAAATATAATAACTGAAAGTATCTGTTAACCAAAAAATTGTAAGCACATGTCCCTCCTACTTTATAAGTTGTTCCTTACTCATGGAGTAGACTCAATATGTATTCAAATAATGAGTGTACTAGCAAGCCTGGGTTTACAAATAGCCTCTCTTGCCAAGTTTGCACTATTCACTTATTTGGCAAACTTCTCTCATAGACAGCACAGATAAAAACTTCTGCTTAGTCTAGGAGGAATTAATGAAAATTCTTGTTTTCTGAGAGTGGCTAAGAATGGCATTTTGAGTTCACTGGCTATTTTAGTCAACTGAGAGTAATTACTTTTTTCACTTACAGATTATTATTAATTCTTAAATCTTATAAATCATGGTTAACCTGAAGACTGATGGAACATAATTTAATCTACTGTGATTCAAGAGAGTTCTGCCAAATCCTATAGTACCAAATGAACATCAGTTCTCAAAATACAGCTATAGACTGTCCTTAAATATGAAATGCCTTGGAAAGTGCTTTAAAAATTCACACGGTCTGCTTGTTTGCCCCGTTTTTTGTTTTGGTTTTGGTTTTTTAATTGCAAAACATCTTAACAACACGAAGCAGACCAGAAGACCTTAACTTTCTGCTACTTTGAGATTAGATTAGGTGCCAGTTTATTTCACACAGGGAGTTCAGCGTCAATTAAAATCTCTCTATATGCATTCTGGAGGGAACTCCCTCACATACAGAAAGCACGGTGATTCTCTGATACGATTCTGGCGTGGGATGGAAGTGGTGAGCTGACTGGCCAACAGCAAACTTTCTTACTTATCCCATCAAATGTATCTGAAACAACAAACCCAACAATCATGCTGCCTAGGGTTGCATTTTAGATGGCCTATGCCAGGGACTATGAAGTCCAGTTTTTTCTTTCTCTTGCATAACAAAGGAGAAGTGATATTCCCGGGTATGTCGATGCAGAGTTCCACAAGCTTGAACTCTTCGACAGAATGGGAAAAATAGATGAAGAGTTGATACCTTGTGAGATTTCTTGGTATGGAAATTTAACTAGGACATTGGAACAACAACTGAGTTTTGCTTGGTGCACAAGTGTCGTCTTAAAGCGGGTCTTCCTAGTCATTCGGGCTGTCCCTGTCGCAAAAGGTGATTTCTCTTCCGCAGAGATTTCCCCAGATTTCACACAGACTTCCAGCTTATCTTACATGTAAACACCTACAGATGTTCACCTTTAGGAACTGGTATGCCTCTGACACAATCTCAAATTTATCCCTCACACTTACAAATTGTGGTTTCATTTAGAGGTGTTTCTGTATAAAGGTCAGATATGAGTGATAGTTGCAGATGTTTGAGAGCAACACTGGAAAAATAACAAAACCTAAAGTCCATTTCTATAAAACATACAGATAACGTAAAGCATGAGCACTAACTAGAATGTGCTCTTAACAATCAAAAATGGGAAAAGTTTCGTGTTGAAAGAAAAAAAAATGAAATAAGGGTAACTTTTTGAATCTAAGCGGCAAATGAACATTTTCACCATTTTCATTCTTGTTTGGGGTTTGAAAACTATTACCAAGAAGATACCGCTTTTAAAACACAAACTGACTTTAATCTAGCTTGAGTCATACTGAAAAGAAAGATGTGAAATTTATGTAGTATACCTGCTTTTCCTGGAAACACGAAAGGTTTAACATTGTTAAATTAAAAAAAAAAAAAAT